AAAGAGTTTAAAACTCAAGTAATTGGCCGGGATCATGAGCAAGCAGCAAAAAGAGTCAGACTATATTATCTTACTTTGGTGGAAAAGAATACCAAAATATACAACCAGAAGAAGACAACAAAGTCAAAGTCCCTACATCCAAAGCCTCCAAGAAAAATATGAATTGGTCCCAGGCCATGGAAGAGCTCAAAAACGATTTTGAGAAGCAAGTTAGAGAAGAGAAAAACTGAGAGTGATGCTAAAGGAGACCCAAAAAAATACTGAAGAAAATAACACCTTAAAAAATAGCCTAACCCAAATGGCAAAAGAGGTCCAAAAAGCCAATGAGGAGAAAAATGCCCTAAAAAGCAAAATTGGCCAGATGGAAAAGGAAGTCCAAAAGCTTACTGAAGAAAATACTTCCTTAAAAATTAGAATAGAGCAATTGGAAGATAGTGACTTTATGAGAAATCACGACACAGTAGAACAAATCCAAAAGAATGAAAAATTAGAAAACAATGTGAAATATCTCATTGGAAAAACAACTGACCTGGAAAATAGATCCAGGAGAGAGAATTTAAAAATTATTGGACTATCTGAAAGCCATGATCAAAAGAGCCTAGACATCATCTTTCAAGAAATTATCAAGGAAAACTGCCCTGATATTAGAACCAGAGGGCAAAATAGAAATTGAAAGAATCCACAGATCTCCTCCTGAAAGAGATCCCCAAAGGAAAACTCCTAGGAATATTGTAGCCAAATTCCAGAGTTCCCAGGTCAAGGAGAAAATATTACAAGCTGCCAGAAGGAAACAGTTCAAGTACTGTGGAACACAATCAGGATAACACAAGATTTAGCAGCTTCTACATTAAAGGACCGCAGGGCATGGAATATAATATTCCGGAGGGCAAAGGAGATAGGATTACAACCAAGAATCACCTACCCAGCAAAACTGAGTATAATCCTTCAGGGGAAAAATGGTCATTCAGTGAAATAGAGGACTTTCAAGCATTCTTGATGAAAAGACCAGAGCTGAATAGAAAATTGACTTTCAAATACAGGACTCAAGTGGAACATGAAGAGGTAAACAGGAAAGAGAAATCATAAGAGACTTATTAAGATTGAACTTTACATTCCTGCATGGAAAGATGATATTTATAACTCATGAGACCTTTGTCAGTATCAGGGTAGTTGGAGGAAAAAAATTATATGTATGTATGTAGATAGATAGATAGAGGGCACAGGGTGAGCTGAAGATTAAGGGGTCATATCTGGAGAATAAAATTAAGGGATGAGAGAGGATTATACTTGGAGAAGAAGAAAGGGAGAGGTAGAATGGGGTAAATTATCTCACAAAAAAAAACAGAAAAATCTCTTACAGTGGAAGGGGAAACAGGAGAAGGTGAGAGGGAATGAGTGAATCTTATTCTCATAGGATTTGGCTTAAGGAGGGAATAACATACACATTCAATTGGGTATGGAAATCTGTCTTACCCTACAGGAAAATAGGGGGGAAGGGGACAAGAGAGCAGGGGGATGATAGAGAGGAAGGCAGATTGGGAAAGGGGTTAATTAGAAGTAAATACTTCTGAGGAGAGAGAGGGTCAAAAGAAAGAATAGAATAAATGGGAGGGCAGGATAGGATTAAGGGAAATAGAGTTAGTTTTTCACAACATGCCTACTATGGACGTGTTTTGCATAACTGTACACGTACAACTTATATTGAGTTGCTTGCCTTTTCAATGAGGGTGGGTGGGGAGGGAGGAAGAGAGAAAATTTGAAACCTAAAGTTTTAAAAACATATGTTTAAAAAAAATGTTTTCACATGCTGCTGGGAAATAAATATAGGAAATGGGGTACAGAAGTCTATCCTGCCCTACAGGAAAATAGAAGGGGAAGGGGATAAGAGAAGGGGAGAGAGATAGAAGAGAGGACAGAGTAGGGGAAGGGATATTCAGAATGCATGACATCTTGGGGTGGGGGGGGGGGAGATGGGGTGAAAATTTGGAACTCAAAAACTTGTGGAAGGGAATGTTGAAAACTAAAGATAAATAAATTTATATTAAAAAAAAGATTTAATAAATTAGTTTATATCCTAAACTGATGGTGTTGCCACCAGTGTCTTATCTTTCTGCTTGATAAGGAAATCAAATGTTTGCTGGCTCAGGCACTAAGTTCTTTGGTTTCCACAATGTAGTAATTGAGCTATATCTGTTAACTAGCTTTAAAAATGGTAATAGTCTAAGTTAATGTCTGCTTTTTGTCCATCTTCCATTTTTTTTTCATGGTGGTCTTTTTGAAAATACTTAGGAGCACTTCAATATAAGATAACCGATTTTTTTTTTAATAATGTTTCTTACCAACTTTGGAGACAAGCTAAAAATCAACTCTGACAACTTTTATTTTTCCCTCAAAGGGGAGTTTGTGAGTAATCTTTTCAGTTTACTGCAATCCTTTGCTTCATTTATAAAGAAGAAAGTTAAGAATGATAAGATTCAGTTCCTCCCATAATATGTTCACTCACTGTTCACTGAACAAGGAGTTCATATTTAGAACAACAATAGTTATGTTAATATTTACAGGTGGCTTTTAAAATGTGTTTTTTAGTACTCTCCTCTTTTCCCAATATTGACACTCTCATTACAGAAGCAAAAAGGGGACACAAAGGATGAACTGAGGCCACTTTGTATTTTCCTTTGGTGGGTTTGACATAGCCAAATAATTCATCACCAAGTGGCCTGCCAAGGTGATGAACCTTTCTATACTTTGTCAGATTTTACAAAAGGCTTCTAGTACAATACGAGCTACGTATGCTTTACTTTGAGTTTGCCTTCTGCTGGTGGCGCCTCTGAGGACTAAGAATCATTTCCATTTCACAATCAAGCATCTCAGTAGAGCCTTAATTGTTGGTAACTCCCCAGGTCTCTACCACCAAATCAATATTCCGGAGCTGGTGAGCACTGAGAGAATAAAGATCACAAAGGAGGAAAGGAGGAAAGTCATGACAGTTGGGTTCTATGGCTGATACCAAGTCACTGTCAATCACTGAGGAACTAGGCAGAATGGGAGCAGTTTTGGAGAAAGATGACCAAAAATGTTACTCAATGTTTAAAAAAAAAAAAGGAAAACATTGTGTGCTAAAATAGTAGAATGCATTATTAAAGAGTTAGTTTCTTGAGTATTTAGAAAGGAAGCAATGGTCACTTCAAGTCAACACTGGTTCATTCAGAACAAGTTACGCCAGGCTAACTTCATTTTCCTTTTTTTGACAGTGTCACCAGACTGAGTGCAGAAAATAACAGAGATATAGTATAACTATAGATTTCAGCAATGTAAAATGTCTTTCATGACACCCTTGAGGGATACAACAGGTATAGACTGGATTGATATGGTTAGTACAATTCAGAGATGGTTGAATGAAGGAAGGAACATATTAATAATGTAAACCTGGAGGGAGGTCAACAGTGAATACCCAAGGGATGTGCCCTTAACTTTATTTTGTTCATTGTTTTTATCCATAAACGTGGAAGACATAAAAAAGATGCTTCAGGATAATAGCAATGAGAGAGATAAATAATAAGCTGGATGACAAAACAGTGATCCAAAAAGACCTCAACAGACTAAAATGTCAAGCTAAGCTTATACTGTTTAATGGGAATAGAAAATTCTGTACCTAGGGGCAAGAAGTCAAAAAATCAATTTCAGAAGAACAAGATTCAGAGACATACCTAAAAAACAGTTCACCTAAAAAAGACTAGTGGATGGCAAGCTCAGTAAGTCAATAAGATAATGTTAGAGACTCCCCCCGGCATCCTCCCAAAAAACTAATATAAACTAAGGCTGCATCAATAGTTGGCAATATATTTTACAAAATGGGAAAGATTATCAACCCCTGTAAGACCACACACTGAGCACCATGTTGAGTTTTGGGCCATATTTATGAAGAATACTGAGAAATCTCCAAGTATATATGTAGGAAAAAGGAAGGATAGAGATTACAATATCGTAACAGGCTAAAGAACAGGGGAAGCAACCTAAAGAAGAAAAAAACTTAGGGAGATATTCTAGTAATCTTCACGTATATATGAAGATCTGTCATATAGAAGAATGATAACTCGTGTTGTTCTTGGCCCTAGAAAGCAGATACTGTACCAATGGGTGGAAGTACAAAGAAAGAGATTTCAGTTTGATATAAGGAAAATATTACCTAAAAATCAAAATTGGATAAATATGAAATGGTTTCTAGGGTAGGTAATGAGCTCCCCATCTCTGAAGGTCTTCAAAGTGAGCCTGAATGATACTTGTTGGGGATCCTATAGCAAGGATTCCCTCTTCATGAAGGGGTTGGACTAGATAATCTTTGAAACCCATAACAATTCTGAGAAGAGGAACACTGGAGTAGGTAAGGACTATGAAACAAAACCACAGCTCCTGGAAAGCAGATCCAAAAAGGATACAGTTCATTTAAAGCTAAAAGGAAGAAAACTCTTTTGGCTAAGGGCAAAAAGTAAGCTCTAGACTTTAAAAGCAAGGAGCCTACAACAGCTGGCAAGGACCATGCTACCATCGTCAGAGAAAAGCAATGCCAATGCATTTTCTTTTGAAATACTATCTAACAATTACATGTTACTTTAAGATTATTTTACTTATATCACCTCATTTATTTTAGAATTCAAGATGGTCTTCCTTAGTTTTAATTTTCATAACTATAAATTAAATATTCTCCACTGAAGTCCTATTTTGATGCCTCACCATGGCATCAAGATAAGCTTGTATTCTTATAGGTGATATAAATAAGGCTCGAACTCTGACTATTCCTACCTAAAATGAAAGGTTTCAAGTTTGAACCCAGCAATGGATGTGAAAACCTGTGTTTATTCTCAACGTCTAGTTCAGAAAGGTTCATTATCAAAAGATTAGTCACAGCATTTCACGAAATTGTTTATTTGGGCATAGTTGGAAGAATTGACTCTGATGAAATCACATTTATCACTTAAAGTAGCAAAGTAATATTCACTTACCATCTTTTCTTTTCATATTTTTCTTGTAGAAACTCTTTCACTTTTTGTGGATCCCTAAAGTCTGGAATTGCTGAAGATCTATCGTCAAATAATCCTAGCCAAATTTGTTTACACACCTGTGAAAAGAAAAAATACAGTATTTTTATTGGTAAAATTTCACAGGGGGAAAAATCAAAGTTATAAAGCAAACATTCTTAATACCCGAAGAACTACATTTCCTATATTATAACATAATCATAAATGTACATTATCCAGTAGAAACTGATGAGATTTTGAATATTCTGAAGTGCTCATTCTTTCATCCTGCTCAATGACTAAGCAGCTCAATGCTGCTTGAAACAGAAATAAGACAAAAGCTCATAACTTAATACTTACACAGTTGATAAGAGCCAAGAGAAAGATACAACTTTAAATGTATATTCACTTCCAAATTCTTATCAGTAACAAAGGAATACTCTGAACAAGTAAATAACTAATTATGGTACTGCAGAAAAAGCACTGCACTAGGAAAGTATGAAAAGTTTAATTCTTGTTTCTCTTCTGCCACTAACTAGCTATGTGACTAAGCAAGCAAGCCCCTTACCATATCTGGGATACTAAAACTAATTATAAAATTAAAAGCTTCAGTAAAGCTGAAGGTTACAGAACAAACCTTCAAAATAATTAATGATATTTCTATATAATCATGACAAAATTCCAAATAACTACAAAATGCATAAAATATTTAGGGATCAATCTACCAAAGCACATAAAATACATGTGTACAGTCAATGCAAGATGCTTCTTAAAGAAATAAAGCACAACTTATTAAATAGCTGGAAGAATATTCAGTGCTCATAGATGGGCTGTACTAATATAATAAAAAATGACATAACTGATATTTTACAGAATTCAATAAAATACCAAAATCCATTTGGAAAAGTAAAAGAACTAGAAAAACAAGGGAAACAATGAAAAGAAGTAGGGACAAAGTGGGAACAGTACTGCCAAACTTCAAACTATATCATAAGGCAGAAGTCATCAGAAACATATAAAGGTAGATCAGTTTTAGACAAGGGAGAATCAGAAACAATGAAACTCAATAGTCATGCATCCCAAAATTCCAAGAACATAAATTAAGGGAAAAACTCCCAATGTTATAAAAGTACAAATGCATGTGACCTTAATATCATACCATATGCCTTTCACAAATATGGAACAGATGTATTCTTAACCAAACAAGGGATAGAGACAATTGCAAAAGCTAAAGTAGATAACTTTGATTACATGAAACTGAAAATCTTTTGCATAAACAAAATTAATGTACCTAGCATAAGGGAAATAGTCAAAAGGGTTAAAAAAAACACCTTTGTATCAAATTTCTGTTTGGTCTCCAAGATATACAAACAATTAAAATATAAATACATATATGTATGTGTGTATATATGTTCATTGTTTATATGTCTTGAAAATCAAAGCAGAGAAATGATATATGTATATATTTGATACATGCAAGTGCATATATACACATACATAAACACATATATTAAAAGTCATTCCTCAGTAGAGAAGTGGCCAAAGCATATGTACAAGTAGTTCTCAAAAGAATTTCAACCACATCAAAGAAGGCTACCAAAGTTTAATAATAAGAGAAATGAAAATTAAAGCCCTGAGGTTTCACCTTACACCCTGTACACGCTGCAAAATAGGTAAAGACATCAGAATGGTCCATGTTGGAGGTGTTGTGGGAAGACATGGACCCTCGTGTATTGTTGGCGGAGCTATGAACCAATGTTGCAAACATTTTAGAAAATAGTTTGGAATTATGTAAATAAAGTGACTAAAATGTCCCAGCTCCTTTGACCTACAGATTCCACTGCTTATCTTTATAGTCACTGACAAGAAGAAAGTCTCCATATGCACTATACCACAAACAAAGTATTTTAGCAACACATTTTGCGATAGCAAAGAATTGGAAACAAAGTAGATTCCCATCCATTGGGGGGAATGACTAAATAAATTGCAGTACATGAAACCTAATGGACTACTAATGTGTTTTAAGAAATGAAGAATATGATGAATACAGAGAAGCATGGAAAATTCTACATGAACTGATAGAGTTAAGTAAACAAAACCAGGAAAGCAAAATATACGACTACAACAGTGTAAAGGAAATGAAAAGAACTACAACCACCATAAAAAAAAAAGTGAATTTCACAAATCACAAGAAGCAAATATGGCTCCAAAGAAGCAATATAAAAGACATCCCTACCTCACTCTTTTGCAGAGATGAGAGACCAACAAGTTGAGATTTATTGCATGTATTTTTTAAACTTTTTCAATGGATTGATCAGGTTTTTATTTTCATTTCTGTCATCAAAAATATTATTTGTTAATTGGGATGGCTCTCTGGGAAACAGAGGGATATTAGAGGGCATTATGGTGATGTAAAAAAAAAAACAAAACACAACACATCAATAAAATTTTTATTTCAAAAAATCTAAGCCTCATAATCTTCCTCTGCACAACTTGGCAGTAGATAATCGCCAAAATTAAAATAGGCTAAATCTTCTACAAGCTGCAGATAGGTTCAACCACAGATAGAATGACGATGGTTGGTTGCTGCAGGTCATGTGACAGCCACCAGAAATCCTTTGATGTATGCTGTACAGGCCTGCTCTATAAAACAGGATAATACCTTACTGCGCACAAAGGCCTTGGGGTCAAGTGTTTTCAAGATCTCCTCCAGCTTTAAAGTTCTATGATTTTTAACTCCGAACTCTCAATTAACAAATATTTACTCAACACCAAGCTAACAAATTACTAGAATCACATAACTGAGACACCAGAAGCTACAATTAAACCCAAATAATCCAACTTCTTTTTAAACGGATATATAAACTGAAGAAATGAGAGGTTAACTTAGTGGCTATGGTGAAACTACTAGTTAATAGCATAGTTGGAATGAGACTCAGCCTCCTGACAAGGCATATCTCAGCTAAGCAGAAAATTAGTTTCTGTTATAAGCAGCTAAATAGGACCAGGAAAACATTAACTTCGTGGGGAGAAGTACGGAGAGGGATGTGCAGAAATGTGGACAAGAAAGATTAGAATTTGGTATTATATATCATATTAGCACTTAACATGGATGATTTGGCTTATGCCAGCAAACAAACCTTGTTACATCTTACTTAGCCCATATTATTTTGGAATATTAAAATTATTAATACCCTCAACATTCAAAAATCAAAGAATGCAAAGATATAATAACCATAACTACAATTTAAGTATCAACGTCTATTATAGGGTATGATGGAATTATTTGATTGTATAAGACAAAATGATGTAGAAATTCTACAAATAATTCAAAAAGATTTTCCAAAACCAGGCACCAGACGCAGCTAGGTGGTGAGGTAGATAGGGCACTGGCCCTGGAGTAAGGAGGACCTGATTTCAAATGGGGTCTCAGACCAGACACTTAACACTTACTAGCTGTGTGACCCTGGGCAACTCATTTAACCTCAATTGTCTTGCCCAAAAAACAAACAACAAAACAAAACAAAATACCAACAACAACAAAAAACACAAGGCACCATACGTTTGATTCCCAGTAATTTAATGCAAAGTTACATTAAAGTCAACGGTTAAAATATAAATTCATTTGCAAAATACTATGAAGATGATAAAAAGATCACAAGTAATATCACATCAAAAAACAGACTAATACTGGAACAAAAAACAGAAGGCTTGGGGAAAAAAACCACATCATTCAAAGAGCATTAAACTCAGAGGACAACAAATAGAAGAAGGAAGAAAAAAATATATTTCTTTAATGATTCATCATTTAATAGCACGGTCCAAATCTAGTGGTTCCACTAACACTTCTAATGAATTATAGAATGAAACTGGAATGACACTGACAATGAAATTAAGAAAAAATGGTAGGCCATACAATAAACACACCAAGGAAATCTGTGCTGGAGGTAACGTAATACTGAAAGTACTGCAGGATCAAGGATGATATTAATATCCAAAAAAAGTGATGGAGACTAGACCTTTAAAGTTCCTTCTAAAACCATAATTCTATCATCAATAACTACTGGCTCATCTCATCAAATCTTCCTGAGGCTGGTCTAAATGTTTATTGATAGCATCTTGAAGAAAATATAAAAAGGACACAGAATTTCACAGATGATTTTTTTTAGCAGACCACATCTTTAAAATAAAAGTCTTACACTGAAAGGTACAGAGAATACAAGATCCTGCTGAATTAAGTTTTTAATGATTACAAAAGAGCATTTGACTCATTTCCTAAACCATTCTATTACTTCCACCTCCATCATCACCCCTGTGCCTCCAGGTCCTTAGGCTTGGATAAGTCAGTTTCTGCCTTTTCTCATCAGGGCCCCACTCTACTTCCTAGGCATTTCCACACCAATCCCCAGGGAACATGCTCCACCCCAATTCTACCAGCACTGAATGTAAGCTCTTTGAGGCCAAGGATCATTTTGTTTGCTCATATCTGTCTTACTCTGTCTTAGCACAGTGTGTGCACACAGTAAATACCTAGTAAATTATCTATGATGCAAAATGTGGCAGTAAGTCTCACGCATAGTCAATAATGTGACTGCAAAGATGTGGTCAGCTATTTGTAAAAAGTCTGTGACTAAGCTCAAAATGAAATGTAGGTCATTTTCATAAAGATTTTATAAAGATGAAAAAGAAAGTAAACATACAGATTGGTAATTATTTATGTTGCTTTTGCTCGGCCAGATGGTATTTTATCATCTTTGATTCCCACCCACCCCCCTTTTTAGTAACTACCACTCCCTGAAATATCCTGTAAAGTAATTTCTCAGATCTTTAAAGAGTATGTTGTTTCTAGCGTGGCTTTCCTTCAGAGTGTGTACTTCATCTGGATTCTGCCAATCTTCACAAACTCATCTACTTCAGTAGGTAGCACTTCCAGGCCTGGGGTGTTAGCATACAAATACAGTTCCTTTCTCTGTCATTGATGATGAAAATGTATATAGTAGTACTGACAAGCTTTTTTTCATTTTATGTCTTCTTGTCCCTTTTGTTAGTTTCTTTTGTGAACATTCTTGGGATGAGGTGGCTTATTTGGATTTCATGCTAA